GACCTCATGCTATGCTGTGAATTCAAAAGCTGATAACAGCCGGTCAATGCCAGGCCCAAGACAGGTCCGAAAACGGCACAAAGCTTCCTTATCACTGGCCATTGAAAATGGAAGTGACAACTGGGCCTTTGAAGTCCAATGGCATTTATTTACAAAAGACATATGCAAAGCCTACACCGTTGATGCCGTTATGGCTCCAAAACCTCGACACACGTGCTCTTAAGTGCAACCATTTAAAAATTGGTGGCTTTGAAGTACCAGCTTTAAAGAAAAGATGATGCTGAGTTCATAAGTTTGCATTATGGGAGAAGATTCAGAAGATTTCACTAAATTCTTGCGTCTTCACAAAATTTCTGCCTCTTTCTTCTTAGGACCCCAGGATGAGGGTGAGGACAGTCAAGTCAACTCTCCCAAAGGCCGCATTTACTGCTTTGCTACTGGACAAGTGTGTGCTAAGTTCATACTACGTTCTTGTCCTTCATGCGAGAGCCGGGGAATGGTGTGCGCACACAGGTGCTTCGGGTACAGACTCTGCGCCTTTGGCACACGGCTGGTCTGGGAGCTCCTAGGTCTCTGTCCACCAATATGTTGTGAACTTCCTCCAGCCACTTGCCTGTTCCTCCAAGAGTTTCTCTCAAGATAACCTCACAGACTTCAGATCCCTATCAAGGTTAGAGCTAGAAGCCTTCCATTTCTTCCCCTTCTGAAGCCTCAGGTTGATAGTCTCCATTAGAGCAGATGAAATGGGTCAATGTAGAAGGTGGTGTGGGTGGCGATTATAATCACCCGGGTGTGCAGACAGGGCACCAAAGAGATGCTCTTGTGAGCAGCCCAGACACACTGATGCTCTTCTTTCTTTGGACGAAGGACTGGAGAATAGGTGGCCAGCAGGACCCACCCTGAACAGAGCCCACAGAGCAACAGCTTTCCACCCCTGGCATGTGTGTTGCGATGCCCCACTGTCATCAGCAATCGCCCCACACTCTGATGGCTTGGGGTAGATCCCTGCAAGTCTTCTCACTCTCCTTGTCACCATTTGTCCTGACGGACTGCAGCTTCTGAGGGAGAAGCGGGGTTATCACACAAGCACTGGCATTTCAGGGGCGACTTGTGAGCACGTGGTGAAGAGTTCTCTGATTACAAAAAAGAAACCTGAGCACTAGTGTTCAACCATGGACTAAACACGCCAAAAGGTTCTGTTGCCTTATTTATTTATTTATTTACTTATTTATATTTTTTTATAAATTCCCTTCTTCATGAGGTCTGGTTTTGCTCATTCAAGTAATTGCACCATCCGAATATTATTTTGATCTTTACTCCCAAAGGAGGCTTTTGTTTAAGAATCAGGATTTATATGATTGGACAGCTTTCCTGAAGTTGAGTAAATAATTCTGTGTATCTGGCATTTTGAACAATCACAGCTTTGGGGTCAAGGTTGGAATGTCACAAATGTAATCAGAAGCTGGTGTCACACACGCACGTTTTGGGCCCTCATAGATGGGGAGCATCAAGGTGAATAAAATCATCATAATCAACGTAGGACTGATTCAAAATGCTAGCATGTTTTGAAAGAAACTGGAAAAAAATTACATACCTTCTTAAATTTAAACTGCGATTTTTAGATTTTGCTATGGAAATAAGAGGTCAAGCCCTGAACTTAAGGGATCCATAAAATTTCTGGAAAAGACATCCAAAAATAGGCTTTTGAAGACTGTGCTGTCCTTCCCCTTGAGATGTAGTTCCAAATAACCTGTCTTACCTTAATGGCTAGCCTAGGAAAAGTGAGTTCCATCATGCAAGGGGGACCGTGAGTGTCACGGAAGCAGAGCCAGAGATGAAGAGTCCCTTCCTCCTTCCTTGCTGAGAGTGAGCGAGTCAGCTCTAGGCTGACGAGAGTACAGTTCTTCAGGCAGAGGGGAGAGGGCTAGAACTTCTCACCCTTGGGGACCTCCTTCTGCCCCCTATTCTGTGAGGCACTGGGAGAGAAACTGAGGCCCAAGCAGTTAGATGCTCCCCGCAGCACTTCCACTCAGACCTTTCTTGCAGATGCAGACAGCCGTTGCTAACATATAGCATAGACTTTAAACTGAAGTGTTTTTGCTGTCTGAAAAAAAAAGACCACCACGAAAGGAGGTGCCACTCTCAAGTTGCCCCTTCTTCTGAAAACCAGCCTCTTCTGAGAAAAATCAAGTTGCTTCCATGAAAGATAAGGGAGGAGGATAGAGGTATTTAATTCCTCCCATAGTACTCTGCTCTGGGAAGTGTCTTTGGGGGGCTTGGCCACAAGGAGCCTAGACCCTTCTTGCTCTGCTGTGGGGTAGTCACGGCGTTCTCTCCCATTTGTGGGGGCAGCAGTGTCCGAGGCAACAGCCGCCTCCCTTTGGTTTCCACTACTTGGAGGTCCCTGAGTGGTGTCATGGACACCATCTCTTCCTCTCCTGTGGGAAGTGGCTGTGCTGCAGCACAAGCAGCAGCCTCCTGGAAGTGTCCCACCGCATAACAATGAAATGTGGTAACAAGAGAAACATTTACCAATTCAAATTTCTAACTTTTCACATCAGCAGTTATTTTCTTTTCCTAAATGACCCTCACAGGGAGTGAATTTCTCTGCAAACATAAGAAAAATACTCCTTGCTATCATCAAAGACTCAAAAGCATTTCTTCTCATTTCCATTTCAACAAGAAAAGGGAAGTCACCCACTATTGTTTCTTTCATCTCCAATCCCCTTCTCGCTAGCCTACAGAGTGTTGAAGGGTTCCTTCAGCTGAGGTGTTTGGTTTCTCGTGGAGATGCAGCTGGCCACAGCAGAGATCCACAGACAAGGTTGCCATGCAGGGAAACTGGACAGGGACGAGGAAAGTGCTCACCAGACAATGAAAGGTAACGGGACTCCGAGCCTAAGTCCTTTCATCTGAACCACTGGAACAAGGCCAATACATCTTCAACGTCCTAGGACGTGTTTCTGGCTTTTAGGGCTGTCAACCTTCCTTTCACATCATGCACAAGGCTCTGATGCATTTCCTATCTGCAGGGGAAGGACCATTCCTGCAACTCCAAGGTGAAGAGTTCTTCAAGACTGACAACAGGGTGAGTGTGTGTGTGTGTGGGGGGGGGGATTATCGCCGGCTTCCCGGGACTGAAATAAGTAGGGCCTCGGAGAAGCCAGGCTGCTAAACAGCTCCAAGGCACGACACTTAGCCCAGTCCTCCTTCATGAATTACCCATGACTGCGGGGCCCCAAAGTCGCTAGTCATCTGCCTCAGGTGAGATGTCTTGTCTCATAAGAACTGAGGTACAGCCTCTGGCACTGGGTAAGGCAAGCTGAGGGCTGTGAGCAGGTAGGAGTGAAAACAGGATGTGCCTACTCAGGCTCTGGTTGAACGGCAATGGGACATCATCTGAGCCGGAAGCCCGAGCCGGGGGTCAGCCCGTCCTCAACCACGGGGAACAGTTTAAGAGGGCGCCCAGGCTTGCATAGGAGGGCCAGTCCCTGGTGAGGAGCCTCAGGGCAGCGGCAGGGTGACACTGACGCTCGGCGGGCGCTCAGTGGGACAGCACAGCGCCCCCTGCTGGGGAGCGGAGGGAAGGACCGTCACCCTTCTCCAGGGAGGGGTTCTGTTAGATGTGGGGGATGCACCACTAGGAGAAGAGCTTGGTGCATCTGGGAAGCAGAAAGGCGCAGCCTGAGGGAGGGGCTGAAGCCTCAGTGGAAATCTAGGCTTTGTTACATGCAGTCGCAGAATAAAAAGCTGATGAGGAGAAAAGCCAGGCTGCAATTCCTGCTGCACCTCTGTAAGCTACAAGACGTTAGCCTCGGGTCTCCGTAAGGAGAAAGTAATCCACACCTCTGCGCTCTGCCAGGAGGACAGGACGAAGCAGCTCCAGCTCTTTTTTTAGCACAGCTCTTGGTGTACAGTAAATCTTCAAAACAGGAGATGCCATTGCTATTAATTCGGTGGCCATTTATACGGTGATGTTTCAGGGACAGGGACCAAGACTATGCACTTGTCCTTGGTGACCAATGTCAAAAGGACAAGGACGAGGACTAAAAGACCCACAAAAAGATAGGACGTGGCTCTGTTTGCTTAAAATTCCTTTGTCCTTCAAAAGCTTGTGGGCTGTCCTTCAGCTCCTGTGGGAGCCATGAGGTCACTGTGGGAGCCCAGGGGCACCTGGAACCTACTTTCTGCAGCCACGTGCTTACCACCTGACTACAGAGCCTTCCAGAGAAAATGCCAAGGGAAGAAGTTAAAACACACATCCACAGGCCGGCTGATTCCATAAAGAGCCTTCAGTGAGTGTTCATTCCAGGATAACAAACCAAGCAAAACGTCTGGCTGTGTTTAAAATCAACAAAACCAGCAGGACAAGCAGAGATGGGGAATGAAGTGATCCGCTTGTTTTTAAAGCTGCCAACAGTGCTGCTACAGCAGGGGCCTGCAAGGAGGAGCCAAGTGAGGGGAAGGAGGCACATGCATGGGGCAAAAGCTGAGGGCGGGAAGGGCAGAATGCACATGTGGCCATGGCTGGTGGGGAGCTTCTCCAGGGCTAGGGCCTCTGTGGTCACCTCCTAGGTCAGTGGGTGAGGTGGCCAGGCTGAGCCAGTGCTAGCTTGGAAGGTAACACAGCTGGCGTCAGTGGCTGCATGCACTGAGCCCTGCACTCTGCCCTCAGCCTCCTTGGCTAAGCTTTTATAAGTGGTGAAACTGGGGCTGAGAGAGGTGACAGACTTGGCTACTAAGGGGTGGCATCCAGCTCCCTCCTATGTGCACAGCTGTGCCATTCAACACCTGCCACCAACTAACTGGGGCCCAGGAAACGCAGACTGGGAGGCCTGAGCTAGGAAGTGCTAAATCAAGAATGAACTTAAATCCAAATGGTGTCACCAGATGAAAGGACTTTTGGCCCCTCCCCACATGCACTGGGTCCAGGCTGGCCCCGAGGGCCCCACACACGATGTCCGGCAGACTAGACAGGGACCGGCCTGCGGCCGCCATACCAATGGTGCAGTGCTCGCCGTTCCAGCCCACGCTGCACTCGCACTTGCCGTCCCGGCAGGTCCCGTGCTCGGCACAGCGCGGGTGGCAGGCTCGCTGGTCACACGCTGACCCCATCCAGCCATCCTCGCAGCGACAGGTGCCTCCCACGCAGACACCGTGGCCGCCACAGTCCGCAGCGCAGATCTCTGTGGTGAGGGAAAGGAGGGAGGAGGGGGAAGGGAGAGAGAAAAGGACAGGATTTGAGCAAATTCTTGTCGGGCTTCTGCGAGTGGACAGTATGCTGGAGGCTCAGGAGACTAAAGCTCCATGGATAATGACCCTCCAACAGAACAGTCTCTGGGCGGAAGCCCGCTGGCCGCCCATTTCCCCATCGGAACGGGAGTGACTGAAGGGCTCTGCTGTCTGCTTTTCCCCTTGCCAGCCTTTCTCTGTTGCTGTGCTTGCCACTTCTAAAGGGGACCAGCCCTCCCAACAGATGTGAGAAAAAGTCCAATTTAATTAAGAGCCAGTTATGTGTGAAAACCAAGCATGGGGGAGTTCCCGCTGCCCAGTGAGGGCTGGTGGGGTGTACAAAGAGCTCGGGCAGCACAGAACTACAGCTTGGGTTCTAATGGGGCACAGGCGCTTGACCCTTGCACCTTGGACACACTCTGAGTTGTGGGCCAAAACCCACATTTTACTCCGTGCTTTTGCCAAGTTTATTCTCTGTCCTCTAACGTGCTGTTTCCTGCCCTGGAACCAAGCACCATCTCAACAGCTTTCCAATCTAAAGAAAACCAGCTAGCTGTGGCGATGACAGGGGTGGGTACGCCACTTCAAGGCCACGGTGCACTTGGCCGGTCCTTCACAAAGGCCTGTCTGTGAGACTGGGTGGCACACATAGGGCCTGATTCACAAGTCCTACGGGCTCCAGGCCAGCGATGGCTTTGTGCTCACTGGAGGCAGGGGTTGCGGAGGTTCCCAAATGCAGCTGCTCTTGAGGAAAGAGGCTGAGCAGCCGGGTCTGCAGACGCTCTCTGCCAGGGCTCTGATGGAGACCCAGGCTTGACTCTTAATCACGGTGGCCGACAGCCTTCCATTCATGCACAAAGCCTGATGCTTTAGATTTCATTCAGGCTACACTCACTAACCGGCACCTGTGTGACTCGGCCTGTGCCTACTACCACACCCCCGCGGTAGTGCTCACCTTAGAAGCTGCTGACATTCTAGCTCTTTTGAATAAAGAAAAGAAAATCAGATCTTAGAGACCCAGACTTTCTTTCCCAACCTAGAAGACATGCATGAAATGTTGGAAAATTTAAAAAGTTTACTAAGTTGCCAATCACCCCGCCAAGCACTTCACATCAGAGGCGAGAGGCAGTGATGCTGATCTGCCCACAGGAGAGGGTGCTGCTGTGAGCGGGGCAGACAGCTCTGGTCTGGAGCAGGGACCCAGATCTAGGCCAGGGGCATGAGCTCCTGCATGTGCCCGCAGGCAGGGGTCTGGCCTACCCGAGCCGCAGTCCCTGGCCTAGAGACGGGGGGGAGGGGGGACCATGGCCTGCTTCACAGCCCCTCTCCGCTCGCCTAGCAAGCTGAACGAGCACTCGCTGAAGCAGACAACACCCAAGGCCGTGGTGAAGACCAAGTGACTCCAGAACATTGTCCTAAATTGAAGGCAAGACGCTGGGAGCCCAGAGAGGCTTGTGTGGCTGGTGCCCACTCAGCTACCGATCTGCTAGGAAGGAAAGAAGGTCACGCTTTCTCTGTGGGTCAGTTTCCTCATCTATTTCAGGGAAACCTGAAGTGCGTACGTCCTCCAGGCTCAGCGGCTGTGGGATTCTGCGATGCAGTCACCTTGAGCCCCCACATTACGCATGGCCCGTCCTCGGGCGGGGCGCGTGTGCCCAGCCCGCTGCAACACCCACCAGTCCAGTAGTGGCTCACCGTGTGGTTATCCTCCCGCACCTTCTCGTCCCACACTGCACACGACCCTGACTTCCTGTGCCTGCCTCGCTGCTGTTGGGACAGGACACGCTGAGGCCAGGCTCCTGCCTCTGACCACCCCATCCCTGGACAGCACAAGCACTGGCAGAGAAGATTTTCCCTAAATAAGGCTTGTTTGGAGGGGCTGATGCATGGTGTGCTCAGGGCGACGGTGAGAGAGGACACAAAGCACCTCATGCCTGCACTGCTCGGCCAGGCCTGCCCCCTGCTCCCCCAGGGACTCATGAGGGTGCTAGGAGGCCTATGTCCAGGATGCTCCTGGGAGATGCTCCCTTCAGAAGTGCCTTAGGCTCCCCTAAAGACACAGCATCCAGCTCCAGGCCCCAGGCCACCCAGGTCCTACCATATCATCTCACCTGCACAACACGGAAAGGGCAGGGAGCACCTGGTGAGCTGGGGCTGGGCTCGGGCTTGAGCTGCACTTTCCTCTGAGAGTTCAGGGAGAGGTCAGTAGTGTTGCTTTAGGCCTACGTTTCATGTCCTTCCAGGCGTTGGTGATGGTGTAGAAGTGAACAGCACATAGTATGTGGCGCTGAAGCGATTCAGGAGAGGCCCAAGCTTGGGGCTGGTGGGCAGGCGAGGAGCAGCAGCACGCCTGGCCGTCAAAGGAGCCAAGGGAAGAATGGCAGCCTTCATCCTGCTCGCCCTGTGGGGCTTCGGGCTTTGTGAGCAGGTCCCAGGCATCCAGGAGGGGTTGGTTCTAGGACCCCCCCCCCACTAGTGCATGCCTAAGTCCCTTATATTGAATGGCATAGTATATGGTTAACCTACGTGACCCTCCCTGTGCTTCAAAATCCTCTCTGGGTCACTCACCGTCCCTATTCATACAATGTAAATAAAGACACTGTGCTGTGTTACAGTTTAGAATAATAAGAAAAAAGTCTATATATTTTTAGTAAAGATGGAAAAAATTTTGAGTATTGCTGATCTGCTGTTGGTTTAATCCTCAGATACGGATCCTTGGATACAGAAGGCAGGCTTGATTCCATTCGCCTAGCAGCCAATCTGGAGGCAGTGTGGACAGACAGGAGTAGGACTTGGGATCAGAATGACTCCAAATCTTGTTTCAGCCGGCTATGTGACCCACTCCACTGTTCTGAGTCATTTTCTTCCTCCGTGAGATGAGGACAATGACAGCACCCGCTTCAGAAGGTACTTTGTGCTTGATGGATTGTAGGTATCAATAAATGCATCCCTTGGAGAGTCTCCCACATATGTCTACCATGAGCCAGAGACTGTATTTGGAGCGAGAAACACAGAGGGCAGGAAAACAAAACCTCTGTCCCCAAGAGGTCACATGCCAAATAATGTACAAACTGATACATTCCAAGGATTATCCAAATAACCTGTAGCCACCAGTCATGTCTGTATCTTCCGCACGCAGTGGATTAAAATCATGGGTTTTACAATCAGACAGTCCTGGATCTACCCTTAGCTTTGCCACTTATTGGCTGAAAAATCTGCATACGAAAAGTTGCCTAGGAAGCAATCTACACTTTCCATTTCTGTAAAATGGGGACAATAATTTCCACTTTAACAATCTCACAGGTTTGGTGTTACAATAATTGAGGTCATGTTGCAGGAGGGCCATTCGGGCTGAACTAACGCACCAGGTTTTGCAGCTTATAAAGCATACTTCACATACAATTTCTCGCTTAACCGTCACAACAATATTGCAAGAATATCTGGATATTATCTCCCTTAGAGGGAGGATGCTGAAACCCAGAAATATAAGGACACTCTGCAAGGTCATGTGGGCATTTTCTGTTTTGACAATCCTCGGAATCATGGCGTACTGCAAGATAGGCATTTTGCAGACAAGGAAACTGATCCGGAGACAAAGCAAAGGACCCGAATTCAATTACAGAAGCTTTCCTGCCAGCAGCTCTGTCTTGTCTACTGCTGGCCCTGCCGGTTCTGCTTTGTTACAGCCAAGCCAGTTCCTGGAGACACGTGGGAAGAAACGGCATCCTCCTGGCAGTTTCTAGACATTCAGTCTCACACTTCTCATTTGGAGGCTGAGGTCTGACCACTGAGGTGCCCCAGCTCCTTGCTGGTCTACACCAGGTGCTCTCCTGGCATGAGGCTAGAGCTGCTGGGAGCTGGCTCTCTCAGGCTCCCTCGCCTTCCATGTCATAGACACGCCCCCTTCCAGGCTGGCTTGTGAGCTCCAACACTTAAGGGAAGGGCCCTGAACTGGGCGACCTTGATGTTTACGGGGTGCTGCATGAGGGCAGCCCAGCATGGGAGCACTAGGGTTCTCCTTGGCACAGGGTCTGAGTGGAAGAGACCCGGGGGGCAGATAGGAACGGACACTTGAGATGCTCCTTTCCATCTGGCCTCGGGTTGTAGTCCTATTGCTTTTCCTCCCACAAGCAGTTCGATTTCTTATTTTTGTCCTTGAAATACTAGGAACTGCTTTATTTCTCCTTCTTAGACTCTGTTTTGACGTTAAGGCAGACAGAACTGCAGAGTACTTGCAGCGAGCCCAACAGGGTGATGCTCCAGAAGGTTCTCTCAGGCTCCCTCGTCTTCCGTGTCACAGACACGCCCCACTCATGACCTCCAGGTCACGCTGCTCCGAGGCTCAGGTTTCCTTTTTTGTAAGGAGGATGGCATCAACCACTTGGGAAGGCTGGAGGAACCGCCCTTGCTGGGTTGACTTTCTGGGTGCTTGCTGCGTGCACTGAGGGCCCAAATGGCGACAAGCACACATATCATTCTGAAGTGTGTGTGTATATATATATATACAGGCCCTTGTGTTTGCCAGGGAAGCGTTTATTCCACTGAGCCATCTCCCCAGCGACATACACCATTCTGTCCCAATCTCAAGGCCTTTGCGCGCTGTCATGGTGGATGACACAACGCAGACCTATTGAGTTAAGTGAATGAGTGGGCATGAGCAGAGCTAAAGATGCCAGCGTGCTGCCAGGTGCGTGGCCAGAACGCAATCAATCGCACACTCCCAGTTTTCTTTTTTAAAAACAGAAATGAAATGCAGCTGCGAGTGTCCTAGGCTGATGTCGGAGGGTCAGATGTAAACTCTGACTTTTGCAACCTGCTCAAAATAGGACAATACTGATGACTGTTGGGTATTTTTCATGCAAGAAAAATCAGTTAGAACAAAAATTCAAACTGAATGTGGAAGGGTGGGCTCTGGGGGGAATCTCTGGAGGACTAAGGGACACAGGAGGCACAG